AGTAATGGAGTCCTCTCCCTCGACGGCACCAACTCGTACTAGGAGCCTAGAATTTCACCTAGTTCGTCAGGCCGCCGCTCGTCAGCGCACCTCACCTCCAAGCGGGACAACCTCAATGTACGATGTATGGAGAATCATGTTACCAATTTCTACCTGTGGTGGGAACGCTTCCCCTACAGATGAAGTATGAAACTACAACTGATTACCTTTAATGCGGGACGGCAAAATGAGGATGCAGCGGTGGACATCATGAAGGCATACACCATGGCTCACCACAACTCTGTGGATATTCAGCGTTCCTCCCGCAGATATACATATTGGATTCAGTGATGGTCATGCACAAAACGGTGAATTGGGCAAAGACATCACAACAGCCCTTCGCCATGCTTAAACTGGACTTTACTAAGGCCTATGACTCAGTGAACATGAAGTTTCTTTTCCAAGTCATGGGTCGCATGGGACTGCTAGTTAGTTTTACATGCATGATGAAGATGCTTCTAGAGCATGCGAAAGCGGCGGTGTCAATCAATTGAGTTTTGCGATTTGCCGTGGAGTTCACCACGGGTGCTCCTTGGCACCCTATTTGTACATCATAGTGGCGGAGGCGTTGTCAACAGCGGCACAATACAAAGTTCGGCTGAGCACCTTGAAGAAAATTTGACTGGCAGACCCCAATGTCCAACAAATTTTGACGCAATACGTAGACAACGTCAATTTCTAGCTGTTTGAAGCCCAAGGATACCTTAAGGTTGCCTTTGATCTCCTCAACAACTTTAGCAACGCCTCAGGTTTGATCATCAATCGTCAAAAGTGTGCAATCTGTTGGTACATTACAAATGACCCTGCTCAATGCTCTTTGGATGCATCGTGGCTCCTTCACATGTCCTCCAGAAGCTACTAGCAACTTTGTTTGGACAAGACTTAGCAGTGCCAGACGTTGATGAGTTTCTGTAGGGCAAAATTTTGAAGAAACTGAAGTACTAGTCTTCATAACATTGTTCATTACCAGCTAGAGCAATGATAGTCAACTCACTGCTACTATCTACATTACGGTACTTCTTGAGTATTTGATGAGGCTTGAGGAAGATTTTTACGAGCCATTTGCGCAGCACTTCGTAACCTTCTATGAAAGGGTACAAAAGAGTGCGTCAAATTGCGTGTAAGATGGAACAATTGTTGCGCAAGCAAGGGAGTCAGAGAATTAGGCTTTGTTGATCTCGGAACGGCGTTTGAATTCATGGAGGCGCATGTGTGTCAACTAGCAGTAGTCAGGCTCTAGTTTCTGAGGGATTTGTGGCAGCCAAACATCTCGACACCCAAGTCATGCAAAGTGATCCAACAGAAATTCGGGTTGCAAGATGATGAAGGTAGAGAGATCGAGCTCTACCATAATCGTATCCCTCCAGCGTGGCATTGGCTACTCACGATCAACCCACAACAGTCAAAGTAGGGGAAGTGGGTGAAAAATTTTCTATATGGCATCCAGCTACGTCCGAAAGCTATCTTCCAAGCCACCAGTGACTTTCGATTGTGCCTGTCACCATTAGCAATTGATACTCTCATCCCAGCTTCAATCTAAGTATTCCACATGGGCATGCATTCCCAAGCCCTTATTGCTCAACCCGAGCACGGTCCTGAGAGCCGGCCACTTCATGGGTTAGTGCGTAGAGTTCGAGTCACTGCGCTTCCTCTAAGGCAGCGTACCAGGACTGTCCTCATTCTTGAGTATCTTGCACCGATTGACCGACTCACCTTCGACCCTGGAAGATGGGAATGGCGTCCGAGAGAAGGTTTCTTCAACTACACCGCCAAAAAAGTCAGAAACGGGCGAAACCCGATACTTTCCTTGAGCCTGCCATTTGAAGTGAAGTGATCGGGTCATGTGCATCTGAGGTTTGTCCCGAACTGGGGAGAGGTATGGAGAAACGACCGTTCACGCAAGGAATCAGGACTTCTTTGGAGCCTGCTCCACAACGCCATCACTATAAACGAATGGCGTCATCAGGATTCATAATCCAACAATGACTAAATGTGTATGTTGCTCTACATGTGTTCCATAATTGCTCAAGCACTGCTTCTATGAATGTGAAGATGCCTCATCTGCATGGGACTTCACCTTTTCTGTGTTGTATCATGCCGCAGGGATACTATCGTGGGCAAGACTGGAGTGGGCTCAATGCCTGCTCAGGCAGCCCCTTCCAAATCATCTTTTGCATGTGGTCGATTTATGGGCTCTTATGAGAGATGTAGTAATTTGCTATGTTTGGATCCGGACAATGTCCATGTGTTCTTTGATGATCAGTGGATCCAAACCCGTATGGACGGCATCATGTGGGATAGCATTCTCAACATTGCAAGAATGTCTTGGCAACAAGCTCATCAACCATCACCTTTGAGATCGAGCTCAAGAATGTTGTTGGAGCAGTTCGACAATCACGACAAGTACTCTTGTTCGCAAGAGTATGGGAGGTTACAGAGGTGTTCTGTGTGAGAGCTGATGGTAAAATCAGGTGGCAGCATTGACTACCCGAGCGCGGAAGATTCCAGTAATGGGACTCAACCGCATCATATAATCATGGGTAGCATTTGATGTTTAGAAGGTAAATTTGTAGGTTCACGCACTGTAAGGTGTAAAAATACAAAAAGTATTACTAGCCGGCCTGTACATGCAAGCCAGGTTTTGCAACGGTGTAACTCTCATTTTGCAATGGAAAATCATCATTCGACCAACAACACACACACACACACACACACAAACTTTGGCGATCTTTCCATTCCCTCGGGGTTGGATTATATTTTTCCTTTGCTCTTTTGAAATTCTCAAGTTCATGATCTTTCAATTTAATTTTTCAAAGCACATACATCTTTGAATATAGGGTATCAATTCTCTTCCCTTCAATCTAGTTTTGTTATAGGTTCCTTCATACATGGATAGAATCAGAGTTCCACCATCATGCAAGACATCTGATCCCATGATATCTTGGACATCTTAAGAATTCAGTGACACAATATTTTTTCTAACAATAATGTTGTGGTAAAGGACAAAATTAACAAATCAAACGATCAAATTAAATGATATTGTATTACATTTTTCTGATTTAACTCAAAAATAGTCAATGACTATTTTGTTATTTGCAATCCTGGAAATTGATGGAATGAATATATTCACTTCATCTTGAAACATACTTTCTTACTATCACTTAATGATATATTATTAAAACTTATCTCAAACTAGTAATTTGTAAATGGAATCAATTCATTGTCATTCAAAGTACATTTATTTGGCCATAATCTTTTCATTTTATTGATGAACAATGTATCATTGAAATGCACATAATCTTGAATCAGTTTTTTTTTAATATATAATAAACTATGTTATTTTTTAAATTTGATATGTTTCACTGAACTATTATATTTAAACCACTTCATAATATAAAGCAGATGACATCTTTGAGTTCATTGAGTTCTATTAGGTTGGATAGGTTTAAATTTAGATATAACTTAAACCATATATTCATGCTTTTAAATCATGTTTTCTATATTTTTGCCATCTAAAGTATGTATTTTTTCTTATAATATCTTTTAATTTTTAAAAATATATCTTAAAATATATATTATTTAAAAATATATATATCAAATTTTCATTAGTTTTTTTACTCAAAAATTATGAAATTCTTGTTAATCTTATAAATTATTTTAAATTAATTATATTTTTTGAGGATAAAAAATAATTTTGATCCACTCATTTTGATATGTCCTATTAGATTGAATCTTTTCAATCTAGTAAACATCAACAATATGAAAAGCACAAGCTAATCTATGTTTACACAATTCATCATATAAAAGATACAAAATTTGAAGTATGATTCAAATATAATATACAAGAAACTTCTTTATATCTTCATTTTGTTGTATGAGACTTTTTTTTATGATGGCTTAAGCAAAAAAAAATGATAATTTGGCATTTGGAATAAAAAATTTCAATTATTATCAAGTTATTATCATTATCAAATTTTGAAAAATTTGACTCTGTACAATCATAACTTAATACGAATGCTCTACGATTGACAAGATAAAATATATTTAAGCATAATCTAATCCCAGATTTGTTTAATATTTTTATTAGTAAATTATTTTTTGGTTATGATAATTTATTCTTCTATAATTTATTTCAATGCTAAAGTTTTTTAGAATGTTGGCATTTATTGTAATCATAAAATCTTTATTGCAAACAAAATTTCTAAAAATATTTTAATAATGATATATATTTATCTAATTTTTTAGGGGATTCACATTAAAACTTCAAAATATTTTTTACCGTTAGGAAATTTTCTTTTTCCGAACCGGATCTTTGATGTTCTTCACCAAGAATTGCTTTTCCATAACCCTCAGTTGAGTACCCTTAGCCGTTTCCACCGCAGATCGTGGGTGGAAACGGCGAAGCATAATTCCAGTGAGTGATATTAAAACAAAACTTCGCATTAGTAATTATGGTATGATTGAGTTGTATTTAATTACATATGTTTAATTTTACTCCAGAATTAAAAATCCAAATTACAATCATATAAAATAATCAGAAACAACGAATATACAAAATGGAATACTTTCCAATGATCTAGGCTGAAGATGCAAACTCTGCGCAAGAAGAAGAGTTTCTTCCATGAAAAAAAATTAATTTGATTTGGTTCGGATGATGGATGATGTGGGCTGCAAATCTGGACTACTTCACTGCATCATGACACGTCAGGCGACAGACACCGCACCAGAGTAAAGAGCACGCAGGAGTTTAGCATTTGCGTCCATCGGCTTCTAATTTTGTCCTGAGCCATGGAAACGAAGAAATCAGAGCGCAGGCCACGACTCATTTTTTTGCATGGTGACATGGACCCCCAAATTCCACATGATTTGGTTCGGATAATGTACCCACTTCAAGGGGTGGCAATTGTCTGGCGCAGGCATTTGAATTGGAGATTGTGTGACTCCGTTTCATTTTTCGCACTTCACGTGGGTGCGGCCTGCTAGAGCCTGAGCCCGAGCCTCTACGCCTCGAGTAATTGCCGCTTCCTGGTGAGTAGCCTAATCCAATTCTCGAGTCGTGCTGGTTTGAAATTCTTCTACTTTGCTCTGTGTTTACGTGAGCATTCGTAGAAGTTTCGCTCCAGCTTCATTCCTCTCTGTGAATTTTCGCAAAATGAGGCACTGGGTGCACTCTTGTGTCTACTTCTGAAGGAAGTTCGTTGTGGAATCGGAGCACGAGTAACGGTCATTCCGTCGCCCTTTGTATCTGGAATTCCTCTGTCTGAAGCGCAAATTTTAGCTTTTAGCAACGTATGGAGGGTTTCATCGTGTGGATATGTTGAATGGTGAACCACCTGTTGGTACCTGGAGCTCTCATTGTTTGGCCCTCTTTCAGCCGTGATTTGTCTGGCCACGGCCGGGAATCTGATTCGTTGTCAGTTTCGGCTTCGGTGGATTTTGGAGACTGGATGCGAATAAACTGCGAATTTAGACACACCTTTGCTCACTCAGAAGTTTCGTCCCAAGTAAGATAAGTCGTGCAGATTACCTATAATCAGATTCAGCTCCGATGAAGCTGAAACTTTCTCGCATCTTCGAAATCTGACTTCACTTCTTTTCTTTTCTTCTCAAGCAGACGCAATGGCGACTCTGAAGATTGTTCCCACAGGTCTAAATGTCGGGACGTTTAATTCCGAGTTGCTGCGACCTCAACTTCCGCGCCGTACAGCTACTGGAGGACAGAGGTCAAGGGTAAACATAAGGGCTGTCTCCGCTCCGGTCCAACAAGCTTTAGAATACCGAAAGCTGGGAGACTCCGATCTCCTGGTCAGCGAGATCACCCTTGGAACCGTAAGTATAATCGCAATCGAATATCCTCTGTATCTTTTTCTCACTATATATATTCAAATTCTATTCGAGCGCAAGGATTGGCTTGTGCATGAAGGTGACTGTGATCAAACGAGGAGGGTTTGTAATTATCGCTTTGCATCCATGCGCTCCCATTCACTTATTTAAAATTAAGTGAATGGGAATGGAAATCGCACATCGAAATGCCACGCAAGGAAAGACTGCTGTGCCCTCGTGATATCGTTCTTGGTGAATGCATCAGCTTTTTTATATATAGTGTGACCTTCAAGCCGAAGTCAGGTATTAAGGCTGTAGATTCGTTTGCAGAAAGAGATTAGTCAACATGATGGTGAACTGGGTGGTGGTAAACACTTTTGCAGATGACCTGGGGTAACCAGAACTCTGAAAGCGAAGCTCATGAGCAGCTGTCGTATGCTTGGGACCAGGGGGTCAATATTCTTGACGCAGCAGAAGTTGTAAGACTGTTGCCCTATCTGTTACCAAACTCTTGTCAAGTTATTCTTTCCACTACATTAGCTACCAGGATGTGGTTTAGATGCTTGAACCTGGGCTCTGGTGTTTGCTTTTCAGATTCTGGCTCGCGTCTGAGACCTGTAGAGATGTTGGAAGTGCTTTTGGTGATGACATTGACGGCAAGGTGAATTGGCTGCAGTACCCAATCCCAATGTCAGGTGATACTCAAGGAAGAACAGAGCAGTATATCGGAAATTGGCTCAAAACCATGCCGCGTGACAAGGTATGGAAGATTGTATACGATGGGAAAAGAAAGAATTGTGATGAGTCATGAATAGCCGTCAACTCCTTGCATGAGCGATTGTGCCAGCACGAGGCTTCTGAACGACCGACCGCCTGAAAAACTTTTTTCTGGTAGGTGATTGTTGCGACCAAAGTAGCAGGTTATTCGGAGAGATACCAGTATCTTCGTGAAGGTGGAGGAGTAACGCGGGTGAACAAAAAGAACATCAAGGAAGCTGTAGAGGGCAGTCTAAAGCGACTTGGAACTGATCATATTGACCTTTTACAGATCCACTGGTAAAACTCATTCACGCTTTCAAAATCTGGAATCCATATCATTGCAATTCAAATGAAGAGAAGTGTAAAGATGTAAAACAGCGTTGCAGGGAGACATGTATTTACATCGCTGGTGTATGTCACATGCAGCTGACAGTAGAAAATGTCCACAAATTGTCACTTTCAACTATCTGAAGTAAAGATGGACTCTGCTTTCACCGATGGCTACGAAGCACTTAAGATTTGCTACTATATGCGTAATATCTTTATTTTGCAATTATTTTATGTGGTGAAATCATTTGCCTATTGACATAAACATGTGCTCACGAGTGGCGATCCTGATGCTCAGGCCAGATCGTTATGTGCCGTTGTTTGGGGAGTACATGTACAACACTGAAAAATGGCGCCCTAGTGTTCCCTTTCAAGAGCAGCTTGAAGCGATGCAGGAAGTCATTCAAGAAGGCAAGGTATATATATTAGGCTACTTTCATAAAACCCTCTATCAAAGGTCGTGAACTGACTAGATGAGCTCTGACGCTGTCCAGCCCATTTTAATCTCCTACATATTACAGGATAGACTCTAAGCATTTCAGTTTTTGCTTGCGAAGTCGTATTTACATGTGTATGGATCATGTTTGTGCAGGTTCGTTACATTGGAGTCTCAAATGAAACATCATTTGGTGTAATGGAGTTTCTACATGCGGCGAAGACATGTAATCTACCAAAGATAGTGAGCATACAAAACAACTACAGCTTGCTTGTCCGGTGTCATTATGAAGGTATATCTTGGATTGAAGATACATTTTGTGAGGGTCAGTTTTGGAGGGCGTTAAGCACATCACAGATACACTTTCTTGTCATCTGACGAAAGTAATGTTTAATATCTTCTCGTGTTACTTATCTCGCTTGCTCTTCACGGAGCTGATTTCCAGTGTGTGGTCAAATGCTGACATGTTCGTTGATTTCCAGATCGTACTCCTCTGCGCAGACTAAACTAAGGCGATGTACTGAAGCGTCTTGTCCATAACTGAGGATATGTACAAGACGCTTCAGTCTATCAAAACTCCTTTATTTTCAGAACTGACGACTGTTTATTGTCTGTACAGTGGATTTGGTGGAAGTTTGCTCTCCTCAAAACGGAAATGTTGGTTTGTTAGCTTATTCGCCTCTTTCAGGAGGCACACTGAGTGGTAAATACGTCTCTGATCAAATCACAGAAGGAACGAAGACTTGGAGGCTCAACATGTTTCCTGGATACATGGCTCGGTACAGGAAATCTTTGGCCAAGGTAATTCTCCGTAGTGGTCCGTTTAAACTTACATCTACTTGGACATCTCTGCAGCCGTAATCCTACTACTTTATCCAGCTCTTGTTCCTTTCCCAATTTTATTACTACTTCACTCTAGCGAATGTAATACTCTTGTTCGCGATTTCTTACATGGATAACACTGACAATTTTAGGACCTTGCAATGAGATGTGTAGTCTGTATTTTCCTTGAGTATCGTGAAAATACTGTCAATGCATCGATATTTTAGGCAGGCATTTTTGTTGTCAGAACTCAACTTGGTCTTTGGATAACTAATTTCCTGATATCGGATTTATACAGGCTGCTGTAGAGGCCTACTTACAAGTTGCAAACCGTCACAACATGTCACTGGTCCAACTCGCCCTGGCTTTTGGACGCGATCGGCCCTTTATGACAAGCAATATCTTGGGAGCAACATCCATGGAACAGTTGAAAGAAAACATAAGCGCATACCAGGTTCCTAGACCTCTTGCAAGGGAGATTGAGGAGGATATTGAAGCTGTATTTAAGAAGTATAGAGATCCTACTATTTGATTTCTTACTACCTACAGTAGATCTTTCTCAACCTCTAGAGGGTGTTGTATTAGTTCAGTTTTGGGGTCAAAATCCATGTTAAGTAGTATTGACAAGTAGCTTAGAATCATTCTCGACAAAATGTTATGCATCTGCGCACAGAGCTGCTTTGTGGCAATATTGTGCGTAGTAAGAGAGGGGCTCCTTTCACGAAAGTCAAAGTGACGCATGCTCGAATTGGGTCTCGGTGGGTGAAGTGATCATGTGTTCATCAAGTCCAAGTTTGTTTCGTACCGAGGAAGCACATCTGAAGTGAAAATTCGAATGCGTAACTGATGTAGGTATTTGATAGGGATGTTTTAACTTTGTTCTTTAGGAATTTATGTCCTTTGTCAATATGTGTGTGAGTACTCAACCGGTCGCAAGGCGAACAGCCGAGAACTATTTTGAGTAACAATGGACGAAGAAGTGTATAGTTCATTTGGTGTTGGTTTATCTCTCTGATGGGGGTGTTACTTCTTCCGTATTTCTCCCACAGTCTCACGTTGCTCGTTCACTTTGCGCTTTTAGATTGGATGTGCATCTCTACTTCGATTTAAGCCATAAGACATGAAGGAACGAATGTAGACATTGATTATCCATGGATTAGAGATGAATAAATATCATAAGCACTCTACAAGAAGAAGTGATACATTAACAAAAGACATGGGTGGGTAACGAAGAAAGTGGACAGTACTAAAGATGTTGTGTATGAATATTGAATATATTAAAATCAAGAAAAAAATACTGTGGAGAACTGGCATTGAGACAATGAATACTCGAACAATCATACATCATAACGCTTTGAAACTACATTATAATATTGTATTTCACTTCAGCATACGCACTATGTTGCAGCTAATATGGAAATGATACTTGGATTTTATGACTGTTATTGTAAGCCCTGAGAACTACAGAGCAGATTTGAAAAATGAAGCCAATTCAGCAATTGATAAATCTGGGAGAGAATTATTGTAGGAAAAGCATATGATAATACTAATAAAATTTTACCTTCATCCACACAAGAAAACATTACTTTTTCCTGTAAAGTTTATTAACTTCTGTATAATAAATGTTCTTCAAATACGTACTATGATACGAAGAAAGTGGCAAACTCTAGTAAATGTAGGTAGAAATTTTCGATTTTAAGACCTTTGAGATGATGAAGAGCACAAGTAAAACTTGCGAAAAGTTTGGTTTGGAAAACTACTGGTAGAAATTGGATTAAATCTACAAAAAAATTGACTTCATTTTTGAGGTTTAGCAAGCATCTAAGACTTGTGTTCAGCTCAATGTCAAGAAAGTGAATTTAATTGCAACATTTTTTCCGCAAAAAACATAAAGAGAAAATGCATAGAGCTAGTAGATAAGTAACTTGAAGTTCACAATAACGCAAAACACAAGTTTGCTGAAATGACCACCGAGGAGTTAAAAATTAGTTGAAAAAGTTCAACTGAAGAAAATGAGGAGCTATGTTTTAGATATGTTCGTGGAGCGCGGAAGCCATACAGGGACGAGATACAAGCTTAAGGGAATATAAGATCCGGTGGACTCGGACATTAAAGTAAGAAGGGGTTAGTTATACCCAGGCCTCTATAGATTAATCATATGTCTATTTGTACCTAATCTAAGTATATTAGACACATATCCGAAATGAAATTAGTCACGATTAGGCATCTTTTTAAAAGAAGTCCCAAGATTGATATTATATTGATTGTAATTCAATTTTACATAACATTGATTCAATTTCAGCAAGATCTTATAGAACAAGAATTCTAAGCGAAATTTATTCTATGAGATTCAACCAAAACTTATCACAAAAATAAAACATAAGGAAATTTTGATTTAAACAAATTTCTCTCAATACCTTGTTCCAGATAGTTTAAGACGAGTGTATCTATTTTTTTTTTTGTCCAAAACCCAAGTTCGGAGCCATAGGTCCATCCACTACAGGAACTCTTCTAGTATGTAACTTGCCCATGTACAATCACCATTATCTGAATGACTCTTACTTTCTAGGTCTCTATGAGCTCTTACTTTCTAGGTCTCTATGAGCTAACTTAACAGACAACATATCAGCAAGATTACACACAATCACGAGAATGATTCTTGCATGTATATCAAGCAGGAATCTTTTCAAAAAACATAATCTCCCTGTTTTGTTGCTTCAAGGTGCGCAACATATCATACTCATTGTTTTATTGCTTCAAGGTGCATAACATATCATACTGTTTACATTGGAAAAATACTTCTAGAGAAAAATCATTCCGTGACAAGTTAAAAATGTTTTTTTTAATTTCAACATTGAGAATTCACTCTCCACAAGCGTTGTATTTGAAAACATTTGAAACAATGAACCCAGTATACCGACAAAATCTACTAGTACGTTTGATCTTTTTGTTGTTCAGCCATTTGGAATTTTTTCTTTCTGAAATTACTCAAAAAATAATTTGGAGATCAGGCACTCAATAGATTTGAAATTAGAGATATTAGGCATCTATTTTTTAGAATGCCTAATGTACAGAGGTCTGGTTATACCTCAATCTAGGCTAATTATCCCTCGATGTACAAAAAAACCTCTGTCATTGGTCGGAGTGAATATTTTTTATAGATGAACACTAGTGCTTCCATGCAAGGAGGCCTCCCAGGCTGCTGCTGCTGGCCGGAATTTATTGAGGGCTGCGGGTGAAATCTTCTTTTTCCCCCAAATGTGAACCTCAAGGGCTCTCCTACTCTGCGCTCGTCATCGGCGTCAAGGATTTCCTCTCCCATCCCATTGGCACCCACAATCGTGTTGGTGTTGCACATAGCAGCTCCCCGTCGAGATCATTCATTCATTACAGTGTTGCAAATGCTTAAGTTTATGCCAGAATGTGAATTGCGCATCGATCGGTCGTGCACCTTTTGCCCAAGAAATTGAACCATTGATTGCGCGACATACTCCTTGTCCTCTTGGCAGTTTGTAGCTAGCACTGAATTGACTTGATTTGTCTTGATCCTTGTCTTACTCCGATTCCATGCAAGATGAGATAAAAAGCGATAGAGTCATAAAATCTATTTGCAAAAGTGTAGAAGAAAGGTGAAACACCCATAGATATATAGCAAACAGTTTGGCAGCCCTTAATCGACACCTCTCCTCTGTAGAATATAATGGGATGAGGGATAATTTATTTTAACTGGGGGATAACTAGCTACTCCTTAAAAGTATTGCTTTTCTAGAAGAGAATAAATGTCACACTTTTCATTATAGATAATGGTAAAAAATCAAGTCCGAGAGATCCGAAGGGTCAAAAGGCTAAAAAGAACACAAAACAATCTATTAATCAAAACCAAGGGGAGATCCCCTCTAAAGCCGCAAGAGCCGTAGAGCGAAGACTGATAACATCTCTAAAGTAGCAACCTAAAGTGTAAGGCTCAAATTGCAGTAAAGAATAAAAATTATTTATAACAATCTTATGAGCCGTTCTAATATTCCTATCTTAGATAAGTAAGAAACACATCCTATTCGTCCTCTATATTCCTGCTCTCACATACAGTGTAGGAAGAATAGTGATCACATGGAGTAGTCCAAGTCCAACACATGGAATTGTGGTAAACACTTTTACCTCCTTCTTCAATATATATATACAGTTTTCTTCATGCGCAGTTAGAAAGTTTTGTTAGATTCTAGACAGATAATGACAGAATCTGAAAGTTATAGTATCATGATTCTTATAGTAAGAAGATATTCAAATTAGTGCAAAATATTGCTGTTTGGATTCTCGAAGGAGGCTGTTGTTGATTATATTGAAGTCAATAAGAGTTGTGACAGATGTCCAAGTCTAATGTAAATTTTACCAAAAGTTCAATTTGGAGGTAGCTAGATCCAAGAGAGTAGATTAACAGAATTCACGTGGTGGAACAATTGTAATGTGTATAAGTAAAGTCTATAAAACTTCATTCGACAAATGTAGTGAGCTTTACGTGCAATTGTACACAAAAGAAACTTAATCCGTAATCTAGTCTTGAAATCATGGGCAATCTCTCGCCTAGCCTATTACAGACTTGTATTTATGCGGCTTCTTCATCCTCAAGTGGCATAAACTAACTTGCATGCAGTCTTTGTCATCATGCTTGCTCTGTGTCTTACATTCAATAGACTTCAAACTATTTGATTAGTTCAAGCCATCTCAAAATCAAAAAATCTGCCAACAAACACATTTTTGAAATCACATAGGAGAACCAAAATGCGTAATAATCACAAGACGTGAGTAAATGGAAGATCGGTTCGGTTAATAGAGTTATTTTGATTTTGTGATTGAGTCGGTTTTGGAAAGGAATATGACTTGATGAATTAGACAATTTTATTTCACAAGGCTAATGCGATGAAACCATCGAAGGTTGTTCAAAATCAACGTTAGCTGCGAAGGTAACTTTAGGATTAGGTTAGGCTTGCTCTGTGTCTTACATTCAATCGACTTCAAACTATTTGATTAGTTCAAGCCATCTCAAAATCAAAAAATCTGCCAACAAACACACTTTTGAAATCACATAGGAGAACCAAAATGCGTAATAATCACAAGATGTGAGTAAATGGAAGATCGGTTCGGTTGATAGAGTTATTTTGATTTTGTGATTGAGTCGGTTTTGGAAAGGAGTATGACTTGATGAATTAGACAATTTTATTTGCCTGCGAAGGTAACTTTAGGTAGTGTTGCATACTTTTCACACTGCAAGTTTGAAATTGTTTATCATTATGAAAATTATTTTGGTGAGGAAGATTGTGAAATTATTCAAGATAGCACAATTGCAAAATTAGCAAAGACAAGAGTACAATGAAATATTTTCAAGACAGAAAGAGTTCTAATTTTTTGAAATTTATTAAGAATTGACTATGGATAGATGGATGGATAGATAGATAGCTATATAGCTATAAATATGTTAGATTCTATATTTGTGTAGAATTTTTTTCAGATCTAAACTTAGATGGTTTAGTTTCAAGATGTACGATAATGAAAAAGTAATGAGTAATTGAGTTGAATTGGATGTAAAATTCACTACAACGTCACAATAAATAACTTCAAGATTTTGACAAAATGAGATGGTGGTCACAAAGTATGAAAGAGCATGACGAAATGACAAGGATGACTAGTGTTTGAATTTAAAAGTAGATCCAAATCTAGGGTTAAATAGTTAGAGACTAAAAACAATGCTATGTTAAAAATGTGGCAATAATTGTCATATCAAGAATCATTGTTGTGTGAAACCAAAAATTTTGATATTACCTTAGCCAATGTGGCTCAAATATTTTAATCTCAAGTAGTATGATTTGTTTGATGATTCACTACAATGTCAAAAATATGTCTTATGCAATTTTCAAAAGGTATGTTGGTGATGTATGAATTGTAAATAGTGAATTTTTTTATCACATTTATTACATTAAAGATTTTTTCCAAATTTTA